CCAAGGAAGGAAATATAAATTATTCATTTAGAATATTATTCCAAAAGGTCCATTCCCACCTTATTGTCATTCACTAGACAAAGTGGGTGTTACAGTTTGGTGTGTTGAGAAACAAAGGGACTTTTTCTTGCATTCTGATATGTTTGAGATTCACATTTCTTTTATTACTGTGATGCACTTTATTCTTCATTCTGCAAACAGTGCTTTTGTTGGAATATTTGAAGTAAACACTTGATGAACAAGTACAATGCATTCCTCATATTAGTTATGTTCAGAAATAGCTGTACGATTTTAAGTCTTATGCATTATTGGACACATGAAGAAAACAAACGCAAAAAATGAGGTGGGGGGGACACCCTGAGGAGTTGGTCGCTGTCTCCCTCATTCCCCATTCTGAAACTCCTCCTTTCACCCCTTTTTATTTCTCTCTCAATAAGACGCTTTAGTGCCTCTGAGGAAAAGCCCTCATTTTAATTAGACCTGACCTGAGAATCACTTAACTGTTTCTCTCTGCTTATGCCTTCCCCCTCCTCTCCGAGCCTTCGCTCTGTTCCTCACATAGGTCCATTAACACCCTTCCCTTGGCACCCACAAGCTTCAACAGGGGGCAGACACAGGCGTTGTCTTAAAGACATTTTGAGGACATGCCAGGAGACATTAAACCACCCCATACACCTCTTTCAGATGCTTTCAGTTCAGCTTCCTCTTAAGTCCTCTCTTCGACTTTACCTTCRTCATTTTTATTTGCTATTTTCTTTTGCTTATGTACATATAAAATGACTCAGCTGGCTGAAGCATGTGTAAAAACAAGATGTAAAGATGAAGAAGTAGTTGTTACACATTCTCAACCTCAAACACCAATATTTGTTTAGTTATAATCAAATTTGTTACATACAAAACTAAGGCTGACTTTAGATGTGCTTTTTCTTCTTGTACTATTTACATGTGAGCAATAGCTTCAAAAACACTAAAAAAATATGCTCAGCAATTGTGTCTTTTCAAAAAGTCTACTTTGAGTAACAAATTCATGAATTTCAAAGTCTACCAGACACCCAAATTTGTACAAAAATATAAAATTCTGCAACACGTTTCATATTTGTTCCATTCTTTTGCAGAGGTTATTTGATCTTCCAGTGTAAACAGCAAAGACATGTCATTTTGACTTCCACGGCACCATAATAAAGGAAGATTGGACTGCATCCGAGCAAAATGAAAGCTAGATTCAAATGACCTCCGATTTTGTTCCATGTGTGCTCTGCACTGCCTCCCCTACTGCACCAACAAAGTGGTCCTGCTCTTGTGAACAAAGATGTGAATCTGTGAAATGAGGTCACTCTGAGATCTTTGGCTTTGAATGTGACTGTCGTCACAAGTCATCCCCCTCTTTTGCATTTGTTTTAAAAGTTATTTTAAAAATATTAATAAAATGCCACAAAATACTATCAAACAAAGCAAAAATGTTCCGGTGTACAGCCGACACAGCCACAGTAAAATGGCCTCCGATTTTCAGACATCTCCAAGCAGGCTCTATAATAGCAGACTAATTTGGCACAAATCCCTGTCTTACACTATATTTGACCCTGTGACTTGCTTTTGGGACCCCGGTACCCCAAAGGCACATCGCCTGTCAGTTTAAAGGGTCAACCAAAGGTAAAGAGAATGTAATTGCGTACCATCTGCATTCTTTGGACTTTAAACCTCAAAACATCTTGAACTGAGAAACTGGAGGCGGAAGCCTGTGTTGGCTTAAAATGAGTGACTGCGAAAATTCTCACGCACATTGCGTGCTACAGAAAACATCTCTGAGGACGTGCCGTCATTTCACAACACATATTTGCATGAGCTGCTGCATCACTGTCAATATTTCTATGTGTGAGAGCAAGCAATGTTTGTCTGTGTGTCTGGGAGTATGTGTTAATCTTGCCTAAACACCTAACACTCCCCTACCTGCTCAAACAGGGCCATGGGTTAATTCTGGCCTCAGGCATTATAGCTAATAACTGCTCATCAACCGCAGCTTGAACTCTCAGAACGTCAAGCTTTTCTCTGGCACCCTCAACTGACAACAACTAACAGAGCAATGAACAAATTGAGTATGGGAAAGGATCGCACCAACACATCTCAACTAGTTAAACAATTATAGATGATTAAATGTACACAAGTTTCCTTATTAAAAAAGGATGTGCTGGCAAATGAAGATTTTCCTCATTCCTTAAGTACTAGTGGCTAATGGAAACAGCAGTTAAAAATTAGTTACCAGAACAAATCTGCAAGTAGCTGACATGTAGCTGCCTGACCCACCAGGTGAGAAACTACTGCTGTCAATCATTTGTCACTTACAACTACACACAAATTATTCTGGATAGATCATATTAAAGCTGCATGATTCACTGCTTTTGAAACCTAAAAACACGAGTCAAAAGTTAAAATGAGCATATATCATCCGGATGTGTGGTAGAAGGCTGAGCAGTGGAGGGAATGATCCATCTTTTATGGCTTCAGGCGAAAAAGTCTTGTAGCTTGAGTAAATGAGACGATGAGCAGGGATGGTGTGGCCTGTCACATGTCAAACAAGTTTAATTGCCATCTCATATGTCAATCAGCTGTCCACAAAGGCAGTTCGACCAACAGGTCAAGTGCAATTTAAAATGATCTACATAGTCTGAAGTGGTCCAGCCTATGAGCTTATAGGCAGATTTACCGCTCCAACAAGGGACTTAAAGCTAATGTGTGTTCATATCATTGTGACTTTTTGGTCTTGGGTTATGCACAAATTAATCACAGACAATTAAAGAGCTGAAGTACATACACAAGAACACATTAGGGATTAAAATAAAAAAAAGATTAATGTGTTTTGGCTGATTTGATGCATGACTTGGGACACAATGCAATAATCTCTGGGAATTTCCCTGACACACAAGAATGTGTCAAAACCAAAGATTTTGATTGACATTTTATGTGATGGTACTCTCTGGTGTCAATAATTGCAGCTATTTTAGAAAAATTGAAATGTCTTAAGTTGATGTCAATCATTTTCTTTCTGAGAACAGGGCCAGATGATGATTATTGCTCTGGCAAAAATAAATAAATAAAAATTTCAGACAAGGAAAGTAGATAAAGCCTACACTACAATGACCTGCTGGCAGTTATAACAATTTATTTAGCTCCTACAGATTAACAAAGAAACTTAAAAAAATAACCATCATGTGTGATCAGTACAGAGGAATATTTAAAACGACGATCCAACATAATGATTCAACAGATTCAAAACCTTGTTTGCAAAAGCAGCAATATTTATCTTGCTTACAAGCAAAAAACAATTCAAACATTTAAAAATATATAATTTTAAAAGTCAGTTTCAGATATCTCCACTTGTGAAAATACTTGGAGTTTAACAAAGTTTAAATAAAGAAAAATGAAGACGAAAGGAACAACAACAACAACAAAATAAAACCCAAAATAAATAGTATAAAGTTAACTATCAAAAACATCTAAATTAATAATTGAACCATTTTTTACTGTGATGAGATAAGCTGCCAAAGTG